TGAGGACTTTACTTAGTAGCTCCCCTTAATTTTCTCAACAATTGAGATGTTATAATTACTTTTATCAACGGCATGTTGTTAGGACCATGCAGGAAAAAGTGTTTATTTTCAATTGAGAACTGACACATTTACATAAATCCCAAGCCCTAGGTTCTTCAGATTTCAGACTCTGTAAATTAATTTTATCAAAACAAAGAAGCAGAAGAAGAAAGCCTACATCACCCTGGAACCATTTTGTCTTATGCATTTATAAACTAATCCAAAGGCAGTGATGTTTGTTTCTACCTTCACCCTGCCCCACCACTTTAGATTTACATGCCTTTGCCATTGGGTCAAATTTGGGGCAGGGCTGGGGGAGAGAATGGATGTCAGAGGAGACACACATTTTATTTTTTATTCACACAAATCTGTTCAACTTTTATTACGGTCATGTGAGCTCTCTAGGCAAGAGAAAATTTTGAATGAACTCAGTTTTAGTGACCAGGAGTGGAAACATAAAAAGAACTATTCAGCCTCTCTGGTTTCAGAGATAAGTACAAAGGGTAACTGGCATTAAGTCTGTAGTAATAGCTGCTCTAAGTACCGACCATGATTTGAATCGCTCAATAACTGATTCTGGGGAGGCTAGAATATTTATCAAGCCATTAGGAGAGGCTGTTTCTTGCTGATAAGATGCCTACAACTGATGAGGTCCACCTGAAGACGCAGATGAGGCTGGGCTGAATTTATAGCCATTTTCAGTGAGAGCAAAAAATGTTCCTCTTAAGAACAGCATCAGACATTCATCAGCAAAATTATCAATCTGTCTCCTGGGGCGAGCCTATAGAATCTTCACGAAACACGGCTGGTGAACAAGGTGACTAAATACTAACTACACTTAGACTTGGCCAGAAAGTCAGAGTTTCCCTGATTTGGAGGCCGAGGAAGTAGGGATATAAGAGTCATTAACCTATGGATCTCACTTTTCAGAAAAATCTTACACTGAATTATAAGGTGCCAGATATGGGATGATCCTATGATTTAAAAAGTTAAATGACTCATTTTATGTAACTTGAGGGCCTTATTTTGGTTCATTACTATAGGGGGATAAGTTGCAATACAGGCAATTTTTTTTTTTTTAATTTTCTTTTTCAATGTTTATTTTTTTTGGGACAGAGAGAGACATAGCATGAACGGGGGAGGGGCAGAGAGAGAGGGAGACACAGAATCGGAAACAGGCTCCAGGCTCTGAGCCATCAGCCCAGAGCCCGACGCGGGGCTCGAACTCACGGACCGTGAGATCGTGACCTGGCTGAAGTCGGAAGCTTAACCGACTGCGCCACCCAGGCGCCCCTAGGCAATTTATTAAAGTCAAAAACAAGCAGCAATAAAGCAGCAATCACCTGCATTTTATTTTACCTCTGTGAAGCTTTGCAGCTATGTGTAACTTCAGTGCCAGCTTTTACATTTTGTATTTTTAAAAAATTACACATAGACTATTTCATATTTAAAATATATGACTTCAGCAGCTTTTGAAATTTAAACTGTTTTTTCCAGATAGATTTTATTTTTACATTTTTAAAAAATGTTTATTTATTTTTGAGAGAGAGAGCATGAGCAGGGGAGGGGCAGAGAGAGAGGGAGACACAGAATCCAAAGCAGGCTCCAGGCTCTGAGCTGTCAGCACAGAGCCCGATGTGAACTCAAACTCGTGAACCATGAGACCATGACCTGAGCAGATGTCAGATGCTTAACAAACTGAGGCACCCAGGTGCCCCCAGATAGACTCTATTTTTAAAAATAAAATCTATGATGAGAGGCAGATATGCTAACCATGTAGGGTGACTGGATGGTCTGTTCAGCAGACTAATGGCCCAAATCCCTTAATGCCTTTAATAGAACATTCTTCCTACCTTCTCCTTGGTTGATTTTCAAAGGGATATAGATTTGCTCTTTTTAAAAAAAGTGTACTTATTTATTTTGAGAGAGTGAGAGAAAGAGAGAGGGAGAGGGAGAGAAAACGCAAGCGGGGGTAGAACAGAGGGAGAGAGAATCCCAAGCAGGCTCCACGGTGACAGCACTGAGCTGACATGAAGCTGGATCCCAAGAACTGTGTAATCAAGACCTGAGCTGAAACCAAGAGTCAGACACTTAACCAACCGAACCACTCAGGCACCCCTAGATTTCTTCGTAATTAGCAACACAAAATCTCCCTCTTTCTAGGCTCAAACTAACTGCTTCCCAACATTTGCCTATAGCTTGCTTATAAGAAATAATATTTACGGAGGATTGATTGGAAAATAGTTATTTTACTCCACTTGATAGCCTAGATTTTTATTTCTGGATCAAACCAGATCATCAGAGAAATGGCTATTTGCTTCCTACTGGGTTCCCCCTGACCTTGAAGAATGATTTTTAGAAATGTGGATTGGTTTTCCAGCTTTGGCCTGCTTTTCAGAATTCTCTAACAAATAGCACTATATGATTTGTTGCTGTAAGGCTAGCTGTGGTGGAAAGCATCAGTTGTCTCCCACTCCTTCCCTCTGTCCCACCCAAACATCTACTGTAGGAGGAGAGCTCATTCTTCCAAGGTGGGAAAAGTGTGTGTGGATGTGCACATGTGTGTGCACACGTACATGCATGTGTGCATGTGCACAAATATGTTCTCATTTCATTTACACTTGTGGCTTCTCTGGCCTCCTTTTCAGCTTTGATCATGAAGACTCAGAGCCACCCTTGTGGCCCCACTTTGGGCTACTGCATACCTGTTAAGAGTACAGACTCTGAAGCCACACAGCCTGGCTTTGAATTCTGCTCTACCAACTGTAGCTTAACTGAATATTAGGATATTAGAAACAATATTAGAGATTATCTAATACTCAGTTGCCTCTCCTGGAGCCCTTTTCTGTTCGCTCCTATTGTGAATGTTACCCGAGTGCCTCTCACGTCTTCAGTATATTGGAGGGATTCATGACAAAAGTACTCTGAGTTCAAACTCAAATTCTTGCTGTTCTGCCACTTTCTTGGCAGCGTGTGAACAAAGGACAACAGGATGGATGAGGAACCTGCATCTGTAAGGTTGCTGCTGCATGGATAGCCTGAACCCCTTTCTTGGAGACCCCACTCCTAGTCTCCAGGGTGGCTATGCCCAGGAGACAGTATCAGTTCCAGAAAGCTTGGGCTTTGCTTCAGAAGCAGCAAAAACCAATGAGAAAAATCTTTCTTCTTTTCTGATGTGCCTTGTTCTGACACATTTCAGACACTAGATACACTAGATTCTGAGTTTGGGGCTTGCTGGAGAGCCTAGCCCTTACACTGGCACTAAACAGATAAAATATTAAGCACCAGTGTGCTCCCCAAATCATTAGCAGCTAGTCCACAGGTAATGAATTCAGCCGTAGGCTATTTGGGGCCTGTTGTTTTTATTTCCTACCCATAGCATGCACTTTTCGGTAATGAACTCTCCCTGCACAAAATGAAGGATATACACTGTGCCCCCAGAAGGCTTGGAATGCCTCATTTATGCCAGAAACGATGGCCCCGAGGGCTCCAAACCCTCCATCAGGAGCAGGGAGAAAAAAAAAAAAAAAAGACAGTCACATAGCTGTCTAGCCTTGCTGACTGGCTGGATGAGAAAACTCTATTTCTTAAATCAAATTACTGATTTGAAACAGTTTAGAGTATTTTAAAAGTCTGTAAAAATGGATCAAAATTAAATGGCACAACTTTTTCCCCTTCCATAATTATTTTAAATTCCTTCATTAGTTGACCATTAATTTTAATTCTTACACTAACCCTAGGAGGCTGGTGGCTTTGGCTCCTATCACATTTGAGCTCCTGTTGGAGAAGCCAAGTCTCAGAAGTTAAGTGGATTTCCAGAGATGTCCTGATAAGTGAGTGCAGACAGATTTCGAAGTCAGTCTTAGTTCCCTAGTCTGGTATTGAAACCTTCAAATTCCTACTAGTCTAACCTTAATAATCCCCCGAGGGAAAAAAAAAATTAAGTGAGGAAGAGCAATTCACTTTATATCAGGCTACACAAATATTTTCAGCAAAAGGGAGAAGCACATTTTCAATTTAGACAAGGTATCAGCTAGACAGACAAATTATGCAACCCTAAGTGAGTTGCTGAATTGTAAGGCTTTGGAATGGCATAAGTTCCATTCATTAAACTATCAAAGAAACTTTGTTTCATGTACATTTGTGATCATGGGTGTTTGGGGGGGGGTTATATTACCAGAATTTTGCTTATTGCCCTTTGGAATATAAATATCATACAGTTTAAATACAAGGTATTATTTGAAACTTGTTTCTTGGCACTAGACTCATGAAGTCAGCTACTAGTTATTTCCTGCCTGGCCTTTACAAAGGCTGTATTGGTCCTTTAGATCAATGCTCTGAATCATAGTGAGGGATTGTAGTGATTGTGCTTAAGAAATTGTCTTCAAATATGCAAAACAGTAAGTTAAGTGTGGAGTGAACTTGGCTATTTGATCTTTAAATCCAGAAGAATATTGCAAAAAAAAAAAAAAAAAAAAAACAAACCCCACACACAGAATGAGGGTTAAGGATGGGGGAGAGAGAAAATAATTCTCCTCTAATGTATATATTGATAAATTCCTTTCACTATGAATATTATTATGGCTAAAGGCTGAGCAGGGGCAATGTAATATGGCAGAACTGTTTAACAAATCTGGGAATGAATTTGTTTTCAGTGATTATCAGGTATCAGGACTGTTTGTATTATGACTGAAAACCCAACCCAAACTGATTCAAGTCAAGAGGAAATGTATTTGCTGATGTAAGCAGCCATTCCAGGCAAATCTGTTTTCAGACAAGGCTTTACTTAGCAGGGATACCAGGACCCAGTCTCTCTACCTCTGGGCTTGGCTCTGTTTTCTGTAATGTGTTGGACTCATTCTTTGGCTTCATGGGTTTCCAGGAGGTTATAGCAACTATTTCCTCTCATTATGCTCAACTTGAACTACAGAAGTTTCACTAAGAGTTTCATGGCATCTCACCATCTCTGTGGCCAGCAGAATCTGAAGTTCTGGATGGCTGTGCCTATGCCCATGACATCTATGGAGTTTGGTGTGGAGTCAGTTCTGCCATTACCTGTGTGGATTGAGAAGGGGAGGAGAACAGATACTCAAAACAGAATGGGGAACTGTTAAAGGAAAGAGGGTGAATGGATACCATAAGGCCAAAATCCTATTTCTTTTAACACAGCATGGTCATTAGTGGCAGTAATAAAGGAAAAATACATTGGAATTTTGCAGTCTTGGTACATTTGCATTTGCTCTTTCTTCTGCCTGGAATACATTTCCCCCACCTCTCTGAAGAGACAATTTCCTGATACCTTCACTCTGTCCCACTTACTTAACATTGTTTATTTCCTTTATGTAACTTTTCTCAATTTGAAAGTACTAGGTTTATTCACTTGTCTATTTCCTGTGTCTTCCCACTAGAATTATACTCCTTCAAGGCAAGGGCCTTGTTTATATTACTCACTTTTGAATCCTCGGCATCTAGAACAGTGCCTGATACATAAAGGATCAATAAATGTTTCATGAATAAATGTTTGGGACACAGAAACATAAAACACAGAGAGTGTATTAGAGATAAAACCACCCACTTTGTCAGATAAAGACAACAGTGTGAATCACTGCACTTCAGGCAGAGGTTCTGAATTTCTTTTGTGCAATGGACTCCTCTGGCAGTCTGGTGAAACCTATGGACCCCTTCTGAGAATATTTTAAAATGCATCAAAAAACACATTGGGTTTTCAATCAAAATTATTTAGGAATACAGTTATTAAACTAAACATTTATAAAATAGCAATATATATGCTTCTTTATTAATAGAGAAAATAACAAAAATTTCATGATGCACCTAATAAATACATGATTTTAAAGTAATGCTGACAATAAACAGTATTTCAAGATAACAGCAATACCTAGAATGTATATGAAATATATGTGATTTCTAGCACATTGGTAACAACGTCACAGGTCTGCTCATACTACAACTATAGCTTGTTGCCTACTATTGTAATTGAAGGAAATGCTAAACTTCTTTAGAGGTTACTGAAAATGAAGATGAAATTTTTTTCCCCATCTAAGATTATGGATCTCTGAATTCTATCTACAGACCTCTTGGGTGGGGGCTGTGGACAAAAAGGTACAAACTTTTAGTTATAAAATAAATAAGCTCTGGGGATGTAATATACAGCATGGTAACTACAGTTATTAATATCATATTGTATACCTGACAGTTGCTAAGAGAGTAGATCTTAAAAGTTCCCATCACAAGAAAAAATTTGTAACTATGTTACAATTTGTAATGATGGATATTAACTAGACTTATTGTGGAGATCATTTTGCAACATATTGAATCATCACATGTTGTACACTTGAAACTAATACGATGTTGCAAGTCAATTATATCTCAGTTAAAAAAAAAAGAATCCTGGGCTAAGGGCTTCAACACTCCACAAATGGGGCAAGATTGAGAATTAACATTAGAGCAATCAACAGTAATGCCTAAATCTAATCTTTAATTACCTAGTTGTGACAGTATTATTTCTCTCTCTCTCTCTCTCTCTCTCTCTCTTCCTCCCTCCCTTGCTCCCTCCTTATTATCTATGTATGAACTATTAGGATACTATGTATTTCTCACCAATAGAGGTAATTTAGTTCTCATTTAAATACAGTTTTCTTGCCCTCATAGTAAGTACTGAATTAAAGGACTCCTTAAGTACTGCTAAGGAAAAATAACCTGACCAGGTGATGTACACTATTGTTACCATTCTGGTTCTGTAATAGGAGAGAACAAAACTTCATAGAATGGGTGCTCCTACAGGGATAAACTGTTTAGCTCAAGTGTGTCAAGACCTACAATACATGCAGGGAAGAGTTGAGGACATTAGATAATTCTCTTCTATCACATGCTCACATATCACATTTTCCTTTTGCATGAGGAAAAGAATCCATTTATCATGAGTTTTCCTTTTTCCTGTAAATAATAAAATACAAATCCCAGTGGCTGTGATGCAATGCATTTACCTCTCTGACCTTATGTTTTATGGTAATTTCTTTTATTCCGTCTCTGTAGCTTATACTAAATTCCATTGGAGAAGAATTCACTCACTTACTTACTGCAGGTTTGGAAATATATAAAGGGGTGAACATCACAGATTTCATTCTTTCTTTTCACTCTTGATTTCAAAAAATTATCATCCAACAAAGGTGGGGCCCAAAAGAGAAACAAGAACTCAGAAGATACACAGAAAGCCACCTGTGATGCTCTCCAAACTAGAAAATGAGGCTGTGTGAGTTAATGCATGCATTCCAATAAGGGTCTTAAAGAGATATTTAAACATTTACTTTCTACTCTGACTCAAGGACAAACTGTGACCCTCACACAAACTTTTTCTTGATTCTTCTAAGGTATCATCAAGAATTTAGTGGGGCACCTGGGTGGCTCAGTCGGTTGAACCATCTGACTTCTGCCCAGGTCATGATCCTGCACTTTGGGGGTTCGAGCCCTGTGTTGTGCTCTGTGCCGACAGCTCAGAGCCTGGAGCCTGCTTCAGATTCTGTGTCTCCCTCTCTCTCTGCCCCTCCCCCACTCTATCTCCCCAAAATAAAAAACATTAAAAAATTATTTAAAAAAAGAATTTAGTGAAATGGTTATAACTTTCAAAATTTTGAAACATTGTGAAGTGTAGTCATTTTGTCATATAAAGTTTGCACTCTCAGATGTTTTCAACAATACCTATTCCAGCAAGGACAGGACATTTATGGGAGACTATATGTGATCTTCCTCTCTGGGGTCCAGATATGTTTCTGAGTCAACCTCTCTCAGAATCCACCACTTTGTGGTAAGCAGGAGACTGATTATCTTCAGTCATTCATGCTGCCAGGAGGTCACAATTCTCTCCAAGATTCCCACAAAGCCTGAGGCTCTCTTGCCTTTGTCTAGATCAGTCTTTTCCCTCAGGAGAAGGATGAGAATGAAGTAGGAATAGGTTTCCGTGGATCCCTAAATAATCACTATGTATTTCAGGAAATAGCCTGAAGTGGCAAAATATGGTTTCTGTGATGGTTGTGTTCGTGGTGATGAAAAATTGACAAGTTTCACAACCACCAGAGCAGCATTACATTTGATGTAATATGAGGTTTATGCTAAGTGAAATAAGTCAGATAGAGAAAGCATATGATTTCACTAATATGTAGAATTTAAGAAACGAAACAAAAAAAGAAAAAAGGGAAAACCCCCAAAACAGACTCTTAACTGTAAAGGACAAACTGATAACTATCAGAGGAGAGGTGGGGGGTGGGCAGATATGGGTTAAATACGTGATGGGGATTAAGAGTACACTTCCCATGAGGAGCACTGAGTAATGCACAGAATGGTCAAATTGCTACACTATACACCTGAAACTAATAGAACATGGTATGTTAACTACATTGGAATTAAAATAAAAATCTGTATTTAAAAAACATAATATGAAACAGTATCTGTGTTTTACTATTATTTTGTTCTGAAACTTTTTACATAGACTTTTTTTCACCCTGAGTCAGGCAACAACATGAATTCTTGACTTGATGACATCTCTTTAGCTTATTATTAATTATGAAAAGATAATTCAGCCAGTTCATGCTGAAAATACAGAAATCAGGTAAATGTCTTAAATGTTATTTTAGCCATGAATGAATAATTAGATTGAAGCTTTCACAGTCACAGTATCAGAGTTTATTGAACTTCTCTTAAGCCCTATAATAAGTGAACTATCTCTGAACTTAGATATCAATAAAATATTTTTCCATTAAAAATGCATTGAGTAGTTGAAAACGGAGAATTTCTCAATGTGATTCAGTTTATGCTGTATGAAGCAGAATGTCAGATCTTTATATACTAACAACTTCAAAAGTTACCATGGAAAATTAAATTATAGCAGAAATTTATAAATTCTGGTGAGTATAAAAGGGCACTGGAGAAGGGAAGAAGCAATTTGGATTTGGTAAATAATTTGATCTTTAAATTCTTTTGAAATAATTTTTAAATATAAACAGTGTCTTGGCTCCTCAGAAGTAGTTTCTAGTTTGAAACTGTTGGAGGGAAATTTGGTCTTTTTTTAAAATTCTTAATTAAAATTTTTTTTCTTAAGTTTACTTATTTTTGACAGAGAAAGAGAGAGAGCAAGAACAAGTGGGGGAAGGACAGAGAGAGGGAGAAAGAGAATCCCAAGCAGGCTCCACATTATCAGCACAGAGCCCAATCAATGCAAGGCTCAATCTCACCAACTGTGAGATCATGACCTGAGCCAAAACGAAGAGTCAGACACTTAACCAAGTGAGCCACCCAGGTGCCTTGATTCTTACTTTTAATTCGTAAGTAGTAGAACCTATTTCTAAATGATTAATAGGTTTAAATCCTCAAAAATTTTCTTTATAACCATATAACATTCTATAAAAGTCTTGGTTATCTCATGAATTCAATTTATAAACACATTTTAAACAATCACGAGTTGTTGTTGAATTATCAACAAGATAGTCTTTAATTGTTGCAAAATCGTTACTCCATTTTATAATCACTGAAGGATGTTTCTAAATGAACTGGAAGGCACCCAAAACAATGGGACTGATGCACAGTTCTCCAGGCATATGAAATACTTGTTCAGCTGTCTACACCTTCAGTTAACTTAATATATGAATGTGCAAGGGGCATCCTTTTGTGAGATTTCAGTGTCAGATTTATGAAAACAGATTCTGGGTTACCAGGTGCTATGGCCAGAAAAGAGAATCAGTTTCTTTTCTTTGTATCTCTTGTGAATTCTGAGAAACATGTAACAAAAACACCAACATACTGTCAACTAGGCAGTTTACTAATCAATGAACTAATGTATGTAGATGAAAAAGTGTCTAGAAAGAAACTGTGACATCATATATTTTCTCCTATTAATTATTAAAAACACAGTTTAGAATAAAACACCAATACACACACACACATAAAGTAATTAAAGTAGAGCTAGTTTGCTAGGTTTCTCCAGAGGAGGTGTTCTTCACTGTCCAGTCACCTGTGATTGACTGATCTGGCAACACCACTCACTC